ATATATATATATATATATATATATATATATATATATATGGGTTTAAATTAAATGAATACGAGTCGTAGTCTCACAAACGATAATTGACCCCATTTCGAAATTTAATACTAAATTTAGATCCAATGGGGGTGTGTGATAGACTTACCCCCACGTGGTACACCCTGGGCAACGTATACTCATACGGCAAAAAGTCTATTAACTAGCAATTGACTTCTGAGTTCAAACTATCATGACCCCACTGTATGTCATATTCGACTACTTCCACAGTACTCACCTCACCTTTTTTCCAACTTTGTGTCTGTCTCTTTTACATCTTTGAAACACTCTTCTCTTCCATCCCCCCCCCCTCTCGACTTTTTTCACTTCGATTTTTCTTTCCCTCTGTGAAGCCTGACGTCAACTAAAGGGCTAATGATAACTATCATAACCCCTGTCATTTGATATAAATAAATAAATAAATATTAATTTAGATCCAACAAATTTATGCAACGTAAGTAAAAACAATCTACTCCTCGCATAGCGGAATTTTGTAGAGATTATTTTGGAACACTTCTGTCTGAATTTTGACGTTTGGTACTATCCGCTTCAGAAAAATTGCTCAGACTGGTGGATCAATTACGAAAATAAATGCTGACTAGACGTGGCATTTAGACAAAGAAAACTGACAAAATACCGCTTCAGTCATCTTAACAATTGTCTGTGTTATAAAATGCCTATTCAATCAGACCTCCAAAACGTTATTGCCACTTAATTTTGTTTTAAATACTTATATCATTTTGATTTAATGTATCGCCCAAGAAGCAGTAAATATAGCTTGAACAGTCTGAAACCTACTCCATTTAAGGATATTGCCAGAAATGCGCGTCGTTATTTTTGCCTAATCATTCGCACGACTTCTAATCAAGATTACATTTTACTTCCCTTTTTAGAAGCAACATTCGGTCATCTCGCTAAAGTCACTGTAAGCTCTGCTGCAGACAAATAATGTTAGCTAATTCCATGCTTTTGTGGAAATAGTATGGTTGAAACTTCAACTCCGGTTCTAATAAATTGGCGACAAGCACTCTCACTCCCGAAATTAGTAATCAAATTTTCAATTTGAAATGGGGAATAGTGTAGAATCTTGTGCAATATATCCACTAAGTGAGGTGTGTATGGATCAAATACTGCTTAGGATAAATTCTAGTTTTATTAATAACCTATTTGCACAACCCTTTAGCGTCCTGCAGGACTGTACGATCCTCTTTCAAAATAAGCTCCATTGGTACTAGATTCCTATTGAAGTATTGACGTTTGAAACATGTTCAATACGTGTCTATGTAGCCTTCGTCTGATACACCACCAAAACTCGTCACTTCGGTGGCATCAGTCTGTTGCTGTGAGACACCCGTGAGTGACGTTAAAGGGTTAATTCACGTGTTTTCATACCTTCACATGAGTGAGAATCAAGACAGTAATTTTTAATGATAATGGCGACGGAATGATGTCCGTTTGATTAGGAATGTTACGATTAATTCTTTGTTTGACAGTAAGTTATGACCTTCGATGTTACCACCACTGTAGACAATAGCTTATTTCTAGAAGAATGATCTTTAATTTGATCTATTTGATGTCGTTAAGTTGACTATAGGTTTTTGTAAATGACTATCTGTTAAAAATGGTAATTTTATTATCATTTTTAAGAAGTGTGCAACAGACTTACCTCCACGTGGTGCACTTTGGCCAACGTTTTCTCATACGTCATAAAAGCCTATAAACCGGCAGTTGACTTTAAACTACCATGACCAGACTCTATGCCATATTCGCCACTTCCGCAGTACTCACCTTACCTTTTTCTCTACCTTTGTGTCTGTCTCTTCTGCGTCTGTGAGTCACTCTTCTGTTCCCCCCTCCCTCTCGACTTGTTGTGACCTTGATGTCCCCCCCCCCAACTCCTCTTTGAATCTCGAGGTCAACTTAATGGTTAATGATAGCAATCAAAAAGCCTCCCATTTGAAATAAATCATCATTTTCAATCATTCGCGCTCTAACCTTAGTGACCTCTTAAATAGCCACTTATTTCCGAACTGAGTAATAACTGAATCAGACAACTAATGTGCAATTGTAAGAAATATACTAATTTTATGAAAACTTAAAAATAAATTTCTAATTCACTTTTTCTTAGGTAAAAGTTACTAGTTTTTACACCAATAGTGGCCAATTAGTTTGTTAGCACAATGGAATTCTTTTAAAAATACTATAAACTGTGCAATTGAGATCACTAGAGAAGATGTCTTAGCTAGATCACAACTTAAGTTATTGAAGTAAGGTACAAGTGTTAAGCTGGGGGCGGGGCGGGGAGGGGGG